GAAAAACCACCCCATGGCACTTGAAGGAGCTGAGTTGTTCTACTGGATGTTTACCTATCAAGCAGTTGTATTTTGGGAGGCAATTTGAAAAGACCATTATTTTGGTTTTTTGATAGTGTATAATTAGCTGCTTTTTGATGTAAAACTGTCCTCAGTTGACTCAAAATCAGCAATTTTCCATGGTCGAGAAGGATCTTGAACGTGAGTTTCCCCACCATTAGCCAAATATCTTCGCCTCTTTAAAGACTAGGGAAGATGGCACTGATTGAGGCAATCTGATGACAGCTGATAGGACAACCCACATGCTCCATATCTCATTTTATTCTATTTTTTTCCCATTTTATTTTATTTACTTCACCACTCAATTTTGAGTATTTTTACCACTCCCTTCATCACTTTACCACAGCAGTGGCTCATTTGAAACTCTCCACCAAATTTGTTGGCAGAAACAATGGATAGATGTTCTCTCTGAATTTCTCTGGGGAAGCAAAACTTCCCCAACCATTTTCTTCCTTACCAGTGGGTGACACCATTTCTGTAAAAGCCCACCACCCGTAATGTCTCTGGCGAATACACACTCCACAAGAATTTCTCCAAAATTCTCCTCTGCTTTGAAAGAATATAGAAGATAAATTCTCTCCCTTTGGACTAGACAAGCACTAGTAAGAAAAACCACAGAAAATTTCTGACTGGCACTTTTGAAAAAGAACCAGAACTAGTTCCACATTGAAGAAGCAATGCAATTAATGACCCAGGGCTTTAAAGAGCATATGGTGTAGTTACACAGCTTTAGGGCAACCATGATTTTAAGAAAGCTGTTAGAACCTGTAGTCTTATAGCCCTAGCTGCATCCTGACCACTGTAAATGTTGGTCTGCGGATTCCTACTGGACTAGAGGACGTGCTCTAGTGAAAAGACATCTTAAGTTTCCCCACTTGTCACAGCAATATTGGGTATGATGATTTACGCATTTCTCATTGACTTTATATACTGTGGTGTGCATAAATAAAACACAACATTAAAAAAGTAGCAAAAAACACAAAACATGTCAGGAAAAATGGCATAAAATACAAATTTGACATCTTTAAAAGCAGAATGTTGAATAAGCGACTCCACCCAAATCAGGTCTCATTCGCTAAACTGTTTATATTTTAGAAAGAAAGGATTGGGTCTCCCGTTTTGGACATGCTTACCAACATCAGAGCCTCCTTTGCGTTCAGTCATCCATTGGCCAGAGGTCCAGAATGTCTTGGGGTCACATGAGGTCAAATGAGCATAGGCTTCTTCCAGGGGCTTGGGGATACCTAAGGACTGTTGGAGTTGCAAGCAAGAGACAGAAGGTAGATATAGAGATGGATGGATGGATGGATAAAATAACTGCTACAGGACTCCATGCCCATCTGTCAGACCAGCTTGGATTTTGATTTCTGGACTGACTAGTGTGTCTGTCTGTCCATAACCATTTTTGGAAATCAGGCATCAGGATCTATAACTATACTTTTCCTAATCCTAAACCCATATCCTGAGAGGGTATCAATGGACAGGCAGTAGATGAAGGAGGTTATGATACAGCCAGCCCCTCTGAAGGTTAACGTGAAGACAATCTGTTCATTTAGGAGGATAGCATGGAGAACAGAAGCAATATTTTTACAAATGCTACTAAGAAAACTTGGAGATTTTAATTAACAGTAAGAGCAGCTGAGTCCAGCAGTCCCACCTGCTGAACATTAGAGGCTTACCTCAATAGCTTTTGCTGCTCCATCAGTCATGGCTAGAGGGGACCCGTAGCAACCAGAAGGGGGTATAAAAAGATACAGCTTGGCAATCTGATGAACACGGCTATGAAAAGAGAAATACACGAAGCTGTAATTCCAGCCTCCCCAAAACCCCTTTATCACATATTTAAAACAGAACCAGGAAAAGGACTTCCGGGGAAGCAATGGCAAACTGAAGACGGCTTCATGGAGAGCAGAGCCAACGTCTGCAGCAGAAGAAGGAGCTGGCGCAGGGATCAGCTTCTCAGAATTCCTCTAGACAAGGAGAAAACTTTGGATCTCTCACACGCACTCCAGGCGGCAGCTCCCCACAAAGAGATTGTAAAACAGCAGTCTCTGGGTGGGTTTAGAGCTCACAATTTAAAGGGTCTAAAAACCAAGATCCTTAAAAGCAAAGAGAAGGGATATAAAGTGGGATTATCTGATCAAGGTCAAAATATATATGTCATCGTTTCTGGTAACTCTTAATAGTCTTTTGCTTACCAGGACTGAATGAGGAGGCTTTAACAATTTGTTTACAGAGAGGAGATTAGATATGGGAAGGAGAGATCTTCTGTTGTATTTTCAACCTAAAGTGATGTTATTATGTTAAAAGGAAAGGAATATAAAGTTGGTTTATTTGATATACGTATGTATGTATGTATGTTGTTATTTCTGGTACTTCTTAATGGATTTTGCTGATTAGGATCAAATGATGGGGGTTTAAAAATTTGTTGAAAGATGAGATATGGGAAGAAGAGATCCTTTGTGGTAGTAGTAGAGAAGGTGATATCAAAATTGTACTTTTCATGATGGGGATCTTTATCTTTTTTCTTTCATTTTACTATATATATCTTTTTTTTGGCTTTTTCTCTGCACTTTTTTTACTTTTTACATTTTTCTTACTAAATAATAGTTTTTTATCTCTATCTCAAAACGTAATGAAAATCATTATTTTAAAAAAAGGAAGGCTATAGCAAAAACAGTACTTGGGTACAATGGCTGAATAATATAAATTAGACTTTGCAAACCACTGTTTAATATGATTAGAGTTGCTAGGAGTTGGGCAGCATTTGGGCACATTTAATAAATTATTACTACTACTACTACTACTACTACTATTAAAAAATAGACTACCAGGAAAAATGAGCCATGCTAGGATTTTGGGACATACAGGAGATACCCAAATAAGTTCATATGGCTTTGCAGGGCTCCAGTAAACCACATAGTACCTCCAACTGGAATATCTCCTTTTATACCCTTCAGCCACAAGACTCTCCTCAGCAGAGATGTCCTTCATCCTCTTCCAGGCTGGGCAGGTGATTATTTGGTCCACACGCTGCCCCCAGGCATCAAACTGCTGTAATCTAGGGGGGTTTAGTTCACACTCACGCCCCAGGAAGTCAATTTCATCTCTCATACGAGCTCCAAACCGTTCCAGGTAAACATTCACCTCAGCAAACACCTATGAGGTGGATGCAGAAATATGCAACATGAAGAGATGGTAGGACAGGAACCAGAAGATAATTCTGAGAGGAACAAAGGAAGCTAAGTTGAGGGGC